GATTATGCCTACCGACAAGTCGTTTGATTCTACCTCTCTTATCGCCGTCACCCAACCCCCTGACATTCCATATACAGATAGCAGAACTCATTGATCACGCTTCGGACGGAACCCTACCCCTTCCTCTTTTGCACCTCCTCGGCCCTGTCGGTAATGCTCCCGATGTACCCAATCGATGTTTTTCCATTTCCAGCTTCGATCTTGAGCTTCTAACCTTTCTTATGTGTATTTCTTTTGCAGCTTGTGAGATCACCTCCTCTGTCGTTCTTTCGCCTTCGATGTCTTCAAAACCAAGAACTCTTCCGATGGACTTGCACTTCTCGACCAAAGTCTGTTCGTCGAACGGAAACTTCTCTGAATCCCAATCAATTCTCGACTCACCAATCAGACAGGATGGAGATGGCCATTCCCTGCCCTCCACCGAGGGAGCCACCGCGAACGACGAGCTTCCCGTCGGGGATTGGGAACCCCGACAATCTGGATCCGCTTCGGTCATCAGTTCCGATCCAATACTCGATACGCGAGGGATGTCTTGATCGTCTTCGGGCCAATCGTCAAAGTCGTAAGTCGCACCTCTTCTCTGATTACTGTCGCCTATCGACATCTCCATTCTCGAAGGGAAAGAAAGCCCGCCATCAGAAACACCAAGCCCCGGCAAACTAACGCGGAATTCCAGCCCATCGGCCGCCCTAGGCCCACTCGAAATCCATATACTGTTTGTTGGCCCGCATCTGATCCAAGCCGAATCAATAAGCAGTTTCCTCAACAGGCCCAGGCGAACTATCAGGGTCTTCTGCTCGAGCTCGGGTTTCTGCGGAACCAGGCCCGCCCTTTCCTCCTTTTCACCCTCTGATGGACTAGGCTTTCCGGCCCACACAGGGCCTTCTTTCCTAATCCACTTCTTTGTAACCCTAGCACGGCCCAAGGGATTCTCACCCATTCTCTGATCCGCAGCCGCCACAGGGGAGAGTTGCTGATCGCCTCGGACTCCACCCCTCCATGCATGCGTAGCCCTCGTAACTTTTCCCGATGAGCCCGCCGTTGCACCCGACCCTTCGTCTACCTTTCCCTTCCCACTGCTATTCCGACCATTCTCCTTCACCGGCGGCACCGTAATATCTACCACGAAGGATTGGTTTCCGTATCTGAGATTAATCTTTTCCGGGATCCGTCTGTCCTTCCTGATCAGAATCCTCACGAATGGGAAGCTCCATAGATTCCAGTCGATCTCCAGGAACTTGCCGCAGAAATTTCCGATGGTCTTGATGAGATCAACACTCTTCAAGTGAAGAGGGATACTGGTAGCTAAAATCCACGTTACCTCCCCGTCTGTCACCGCCTCCTCTTCCGACCAACTTGAAATCTCCATTTCTGTACCTCTGAAGCCTAGATGATTCAGCCTCTTGATCCTCACCGCCTCGGCCACGCTTGGGCAAACCAAAAACCAGCTTCCATCGGATCTGTCTTCAATGGTGAAATTCTCGTCTATAGCCCAATACCGAATCGCCCACCTTCTAAAAATTGGTATATCTCTTGCTGTAATACCCTGATTAGCTCCCCATCTAATAACTAGGCTTCTTCCCAGATATTCGCTTCTTTCTTGTACGCCCTCGTTTCCTACCACAATACATCTTTCGGACCCGTTACCCATAATCGTGCACTTACCCGCTCCACAGAAACCCTCTCCTTTGACAGCTTCTGCATACGATTTCCTCGTAGATCTTCCACTTTCCGCCCCGGCTTCCGGCGATCTCTCCGCTGTTGATCTACCATAAGAGTTCCGAATTCTCCATCTCAACTCTTCCCTATAGAATTCACTGAGCAGAAAAATGATGGGAGCCCATCCCTTTCGATATCTGTCTTCTGGGATGATCACTTTAAAGGTTCTTCCGTTGCTTGCCTGTTCGGAAATCTGAATATATTGACCCTGCCGATTAATTGCTCTGCCAATATGGATAGACCTTCTCCCACTTCTCTTCACACATCCTTTCGGGATGCTCCAGTTACTTCTAGCCGCAGTTTGTAGAACTCCCTGCATCCACGATATAAGAACGTCATCCATAATTATGCTCCATGTTCTTTCACCCCATTTCACCTGCAACCTGTATCTCCTCTCCATTTCGGTCTCGATCCTCCTAACTGATACGAACTTGTCACCCATCTGGATCTGCCTCTTGCACTCGCTCCTGTCCGCCGCAGCATAGCCTTCCCTTGACCCTTCGGCTTCCGACCTGCAAAACCAAACACGCTCCCCATCCCTTCCCCGACTAAACCCAGAACCTCGCTTACTCACGAATCTCTCAGCTCTCGAACCTCGCATACTCACGAATCTTTTTTGGGGTATTGACTTATGCGTCCAACTTTATAAAAATTATGATATTTTGATCCCTCTAGGAAATATCAACACAAAAATCCAGTTTAGTGCCTTCAAAAGAATCACACTAGCAATGTGTCTCACTCGATGTTCTAGAAGAAACATCTTAATTCTCTCTAAAGCCATGCCAACAATTGTTCTTAGATTAAGGAGAGAGGTGCTACAACGAAATAAAGCCCTAGGCACAAACTGCTCTAAGAGATAAGAGAAATTTTCCTATGAAGATGAAAAAATATTAATGAAATTCGGTCATTCGAGACTCCTAATTGCATCGACTATGACTGCAATAGTTATTTTAAGTAATCCTTATGTCATGGGGATTTTATCCTTACAATGTCTCCTAGTACCACTAGAACAAATAAATCTTTTTTCCTGATCTTTGTGACTGTCTTATACATGTTCATTATGTGTAACCCTAAGGCCCTTGTCTCCTTGGCAATGGCTGCCCATGATCATAAATATGAATAACGTTTACTCCTATATCGATATCGTCATTGGTCAAGTCGACTAGGGGTAAGGACTCCAATCATCTTTATCATTATGATCATGTCACGAACAAGTGCATCTTCGTCTTCAAATATCAAGAAGTGATCCAAACCACAAACGACTCATACTTGTTTGGTAAGATCCACTAGGTTACTCGATCATGGAGAGGTATGCGTATATCGAGTGCAATATATCATCGTTTAATTTTACTGAGACAACACATTTCATATACTCTTTCCATCGAGGGCTCTAGTGATATCTTTCTCTACAGAGGAGGAATGAATCATATTTTGTATTTTCAATTCCCTATCGAACTTGACTCCATACCTAAACAGAAAATTTATTTTACAACTTTAAGTCTAAGGTTCTAGTACAATTTGGGATTACACAATAATAAGTCCTCTAACTATACACATATGCTTTCCATCTCATATGCGTGTTTGATCCGTCATATTGATTTCACTTAACATATGTGTGTCGGTCATATACTAATCTCGATGCGTACGTTAACTCATTCCACATAGAATTTTGACTAGCTAGAAATTGTCATAAACCAGTTGGTGACATAGTATCAGAGCCTGTTTGGCCAAGTGGTCGTATGTTCGAATCTCCACGACCCCCAATATTAACAGTTAATTAAAGCACAAGGTATGATGAATTGATGATCGCCTGTGCAAACTTCAAGCCCGTGAGTTGGCTTTCGTTTGATGGGGCGTGTAAGAGTGTGGTATAAGATCCAACATAACCGTCTCCCAATAACTCGAGTTATTGGGACCAACTGGTTTACGACAGAAATACCAACTAAGCATTTGAATAAGAAAAGAAATAAACGGGACAAAAGAGCCAACAAATTGTTTGCAAGCTCGATCTCTTTCCCTCACCTAATACACGAGATCAAACATTTACACCTTGGTATACCGATGCATTTTCAATACACACGACACTCTGTTAAGTGTTGCGTATAAATTTTCTCAAACATAGAGAATATAGCTAAATTACTTCTACTCATAAGATACGAACGAATAAAAGCTACGGTAATAACTGAACCATAAAGTACATATTTATAATAAAGACAAACCCTAAACCTAATAACCGACCCTAACCCATTCTGCCAAGTAGGAATGTTGCCAACGAACCTTTTTCCTACTAGGACTCTACTAATTGCTACTTGGGGACTAAGAAACCAATGATAATTATAATACTAATTTTTTTTTTGGTACGATAATACTAATTATATTAACTAATCCTAATAAAAAGAATAATAATAACGGTGAGAAACATATACGCAATATCCCCTCCAAGGTTCGAGTTAAGTAGCGAACTAACTCAATCCATACTCAGCCCGGGTCAATGTCAAAACTTCCCACTTGTTCACGACAGCAAGGAGAGTGTACTCTCGCTGATGCCAACTTCGCTTTCGAAATTTCCAATTACGCCTAGGCACTTGAACCGAACCCTCATCACCAAAGACTTCAAACGCCAAAGAACTCTTTGTGCACCACTAGAGCTTCCTTTCACCTAACGTGGTCGTCCTCCCATACAGTGGTCCAATGTCCACCAACTCCCACATTCCCTTCCTTCAAGCCACACATGCGACCAGCACCAAAAGAAGCAAACCTAACACCAACCAGGCTCACAGACGCCCTACGAACACAGGTAACACAATTGGCCTTGCTCTTAAATTTGCTTGGAATTCCGACTTGGGTCCTCGAGAGTGTTGTATTTTACTTCTTTCTACGAAGGACATCATCAATATTTCTCAAATCAGAGGAAAGGCCGCATAAGGAACAAGTAGGTCAAGTGGAAAATGATGAATGTCCAGAAAGTGAACTGTGATTTTGACAACCATTAGCTACATTGTGAAAACTGACTAGGACTAAAGTTGGAAGATATCATTCATCACTAAGGTTAGATATAAGCTTAGCAGAGTTCCCGTCATTGGAGGGAACTACAACCAACAAATCATCGAAAGCCTAGCAAGAAGAAAGCAATGGATGAAAAATACAGACATCTGTATTAAATAGAAGTATTCCACAATGCAACCCAACTACTACCTGCTAAAATCCAAAATTGGAACAATTTCACAACATAACAAAGCCTTCTACTTCTCCATAGTGAATACTAATCGAGTCCCAACCATAAAAAAAAAAAAGAGCAACAAAAACATAAAAACAAAGATTGAAGAGAGTACAAGACTAATAACGACAGGTCAGAGTCTCCATGCATCATAATCTCTCTCACTCAATTCATTCAAGGCAGCAAAAGGAAAGGCAACACAGCAAAAAGCCTCTCTCACAGAAGATCCGCAACATTGGCTGGGAGCTCCTCAATCACCACGTTGTAGAACTTCTGGATGTCGAAAAGCATCCTCTCGTCATCCTTGGTCACGAAGTTGATGGCCACACCCTTCCTTCCAAACCTACCACCACGACCAATCCTGTGCAGGTAGTTCTCGGGCTGAGTGGGCAGGTCATAGTTGATGACCAGCGACACTTGCTGGACATCGATACCACGAGCCAGGAGATCGGTGGTGATCAGGACCCTGGATGAGCCAGACCTGAACTCCCTCATGATAATGTCCCTAGTGTTCTGGTCCATGTCACCATGAGTGGCAGAGACGGTGTGGTCCCTGCTCCTCATCTTGTCGGTCAGCCAGTCCACCTTGCGCCTGGTGTTCACAAAGATGACACTCTGGGTGATGGCTAGGGTCTCGTAGAGATCACAGAGTGTCTCCAGCTTCCACTCTTCTTTGTCCACATTGACATGGAACTGCTTGATACCTTCCAAAGTGAGCTCCTCACGCTTCACAAGGATCCTAACTGGTTTGTTCATAAACTTCCTGGTGATGTCCAGAGCCTCAGGGGGCATTGTTGCAGAGAAGACACCCACTTGAATCTTTGGTGGCAGAAGCTGGAAGATATCATATATCTGGGCCAGCAAGAAGAGACCAGATTAGGGTTACACATTTGGTATACAGACATGAGACATCTATAGGCAAACAAAGTAGATGTTGAAACACCCAAAACAAAATAAGTCAATAGGTGTTGCTTACACGCTAAAACAAACACATGTTTCCAAACAATTCATCCAATATCCATAAAATTGTCTAAGACCCACTGATTAACAAAGTTTTGGGGGAAAAGACCCAATTCTTAATCTTAAAGAAACACCCTGTGTCAAGTTTCAAAGACTACAATTTGTAAGCAAAAAATGTTACCTGATCCTTGAATCCACGGGAAAGCATCTCATCAGCTTCATCCAAGACAAACATCTTAATGGAATCAGCACGGAGGGATTGTCGACGGAGCATATCAAAGACACGACCAGGGGTACCAACAACGACATGTACTCCACTGGAAAGGATGCGCTGATCCTCACGGACACTGGTTCCACCAACACAAGCATGAACCTTGACGCCAAGATAATCACCAAGTGCACGCATAACCTTCTCAATCTGCTGGGCAAGCTCTCTAGTTGGAGCCAGAACCAGAGCCTGGCATTCCACCAAGGCATAATCAAGCTGTTGCAGGATACCAGAACAGAAAGTAGCAGTCTTTCCAGTTCCAGACTGGGCTTGTTGAATCACATCAAGCCCCTTGCAAAAAGGGACAATTCCTCTCTGCTGGATAGCAGATGGCTTTTCAAAACCTACAGAAGCACAACATCCGCAATCAGAATACAATGGGCATTCCATAACACACAAAATAGTAGAAGTTGAACCGGACAACCATTTATTATTACAAACTTAAATGGGTGAAGATAGCAAAACAAGGGGAAAACAAGAGAAATAACAGGTAAGAACAATCAAATCTACCGTATGCATAAATGCCCCTAAGAAGATTCTCCTGCAAGCCCATAGAGTCGAAGGTTTCATGAACTTCATCATAGGAAGCAAAGAAGTCCTGCCCATCAGCCGAAAGTCTACAGGACACAAGTTGTGGGACAAAAAAAAACAGCTTTAGGATGCGTCTCACAATATAGCTTAAACAGTGGGTAGACGTAACCACAAACAGCAAGGGGTAAAGGTAGAACCTTTTCCAACCAAAAGAAATAAACAACAAAACCCAATTGAATGGACACTCACAACTCGTTCATCTTTAGATCATAGCTCTTGGCATCAAAATTGTTCGCGCCGTCTGGTGCTTGTCCTGCCATAGTTGAAAACTGCAAAATCCATACAAATCGAACCCGTAAGAAGCCGATAACACAACAACAGACCCACAAATCTGACCCACACCCCCCAAATCAACCAAAATTCAAGCAGATTTACCCCAACAGGGCGTACATATGCGCGAGTTCAACAATAAAAACACACTAAACCATGACACTCCAGATCAAAGAGAGATCAAGAAACCCAGTAAGGTTGCAGGTGTAAATCGACAGGGCTAGCTAGACAAACTCACAGTACGCGAACGCGATAGACGACGACTCAGGGAAAGAAAAGGAAAAAAGAAATCGAGGGAGGAAAACAGAAGAAATCACCAAGGACGAGATGCGAGAGGAGGGAAGAAAGAAGAACCTGTGTTTGTTTGCGATTGCGAGATTTGACCAAAGGCGGTTTGACGAGGAGCAGTCTCGTCTCAGGAAGAAGAAGAACTAGGGTTTTTAGCGGTTCTTCTCACAAAAGCAGCGGAGTTAAACAGAAGCAACGCTAAGTCGGGAACTGCTGGTTGGCTGCCGCTGCGCTGCTGGGGATAGTCTCTCTTTGTATCTTACTTTTTCGCGGAAGCCAAAGGGTTAAGAGGGCGAAGGGTTAGCTCCGACTCTGCTATTTATACCGTCGCTTCTTTACGTGTTTCTGCCGTCCTTTCGCTCCCCTTCTCTTTTTCCTTCTCGGATTCGTAATCGTAGGGCGCTGGATACCTAAGCCCATTCGGATTGGCCCACAGGCCCACTTTCTCCCCCCGCGTAGTTTGGGCTTTTGTGGTCCAAACTCCAAACTGCTCCACAGATTCATCAAAACAAAAGCCGAAGAAAGTGCACGTGGTAAGTGGTAATTGGTCAACCCATGAAGTCAAGAAGGTGATCCCAGATCACAAGGAAAAAGATTTCACTGTATTGTCTACAACTTCGTGACGAGGGAGATGATCACTACTAAAATGTGATAGGAGGTCGACTAAGATCAAATTGGGTCAAGATAAAAGAATCTTGTTTAACACCAATACCGAATTCATCGCTACAATCGAAACAGGGAATCTACAGTTCCCCTCTTGTTGCTCCTCACAAACTTCTTGACAGATATCAATCCCTATATCACCTTCTAACTGCTTTAGACAGAAAACTTTGAAAGTCAAATGGGGATCACCAGATAATGCTGACAACTGTTCATTCGAGATCACCGGATTGCTAGCAGTGATGTGGTTTCGTTCCACAAAGACATCACAAACAATTCTCCTTCTCTCCTTATGCTCGGCTGCAGCGGAAAGTGCAGTAGTGGCTTCGAACCTGTGAGATCACGTCCACAAGACCGCCATAACCTCCAATTGCGGTCACCTGAATTCAGAATGAACAAAAGGATCCGAATGCATCAGAAGAAGCACGACGAAACCTAGGGGTGTCGATTACATCCACTCGTTCATCCATTCTTAGGGCTGGTGCTATGGTTTGGCTCACACTGGACGGGATTGGACCGCACAGATAAACAGTAAACCCCGAGATAAATGCACTTAGAGAGAAGTAGGAGATTACCCCTGATGGATGTAAAGAGACAGAGAATGCTGACTGAGGAGCGCATGGTATCTGTGAAAGAATCTTCCCATTTAGGTCGAAGCGATTGAGGAACGGTTCTGATCCAACAGCCAATACCTGAGATTATGTAATGCAAGGAATCAGTTCCTAAGAAACAGATGTTGCTCAAATAACGGAGAAAAGAAAAAGGAGGAGGGAGGGCAAAAACAAGCAAAAAGAAAAGGCAGCATTCAACTCTAGCACCGAAATGATATTCACTACCTAGTAGACACAAAATTGATTGTTCGTCATATCCATAAAACTAGCTAATTCCACCTAAATGGTTGCCAATCTCAGTTTGATGCAGTACGAGGTCATTTGGAATAGAGTTGGCTTTACTTGGTTTTTGTCGAATATCATGTCTTGCATGGATGCAGCAGTGGAAGTCCTCGAAACACACTCAGAAGCATGCAGATTCCAAACCAATAAGCTTTGACCACTGCTACAAGCCTGTGAACATGGAATATATATTGGTAAGACCACCTGTTCAGCTATTAGATTTGTTCAGTGTCAGCAATACTAGAGTCTAGACGAAACATTGGAAACATGATTGGATGCGCATCTCACTCTCATCCACTGTACAACAACAAATACCTTTCATCAATCATGTCAAAATATGCATCTAACTAGAACGCTATATTATCAAGTCAAAAACATACCAACCAGCTCTCACTTGAATCAAGTGCAATGCATCTAACAGAGGTAGACAACCTTTTCAACTTCTTATCCTTTCCCTGATCAATTACTCTGATGCACTTCCCACTATTGCAATCTGAAAAAAGCTACTCCATTTCATCATGCAAATTCGCAAAACAGAAAAATTCAGGCAATCACATAAATTGAACATAGAAGTATATTTGCGGCATTCATATTATCGCTAATGTGCTATGACAAACTTGAAACCAGATTCGGGAAGAAATTTGCAGGTGGATAACCACAATGCTTTCCGAAAGGGTAACCACAATGCTTATCCCCTACTGGCATGGATATAGTTGGGGTCTTGGACCAGATCTCAAGGAGGTAACATAGAAGTGGAGAATCTCCAAACTAATGTCATCAAACTGGCATTCTATCAATACAAAAATGATATGTGAAACAACCAGTCACTTAATCTCTATTGGACTAGGTAACTGTGATCCTCAATATTCAAAATAGCATTTTACCCCAAATTCTTGCTGTTCCATCTTCAGAACCAGTTATAACCTGAAAGCAAAGGAAAATGGTGGGTAATCAGGCTCAGTATCTACAGCATACAATCACCAATTCGCTCGACTATTATGCCTGTCAGGAGTAAAATGAAAAAAACACCAAAAAGGTACAAGTTTGGCATGCATTGGTCGAATCTAAGGACTTGTTATCCCTGCAGTATATTGATAGACATAGTCTCAAACATTCATTTCAAAATGCAATTGATCTGCAGATAGTTGGATGCCAAAAGGACTCTCGGAGCATCAATAAGCATTATACTCTTGCAATCTAACCAAAAGCAATACTGTCAAGTTTTACCCACAATGAGTAATCAAAGAACACACAAAAAACTAGCCAATTTATAATTTTTGCTCTTAGACAGTCAGAGTCCTCATTCTTAGACCCTAGAAGTTCAGATCGAGTAGCCATTCCCATCGATTTCCTACAATGCAACAATCCCAATAAGAATATACGGCTATAGATGTAGCTTCTTTTTAGTGGGGGAAAAAACTGCAAACAGTTGCCCGTCTAGTGAGCAATACCCAGGATAGTTTCCAAACCAGGCAAATTAATGATCCACTCAAAACACTATTTCCTTTCTCAATGGTTTCACTCTCTAAAAGAGCATGGAGTTTTAGAAACCAAAAGATATAATGTGGAAGAGGCAACAACATTACCTGGTTGGAAGAGTTGCGGGAAACTATACAATGCAAGTAATCCAAGTGCCCCTTAAAAACCATTTTAATCTTGCATGTCTCCTGGAAAGTTCCAAAGTAAGCAGGATATCATTGATCTCAATTTGCAGAATGGCTTAAAAAATGCACGCAACTGTGAGTACATACCACATCCCAGCAATATGCACAAGAATCACCAGCAGCAGAAAAGATGGATGCACCCTATCAAACAAGTAAATGTTAACAATGGACTTTTTGTTCAAGTTACTAGGGTATTGAACAAATCAATGCATACATTGCACTTTCTAACCTGAGTGTCTAAAGCAATAGCATTGTTTTCAGGGATTGGCGAAAGCGCACCCCATGGACCCCTGAAGATATCGATAAAAAAGAGAAAATAAAAGGCTTACGAGAAGACGTTAATAGTATGGCAAAAGAAACTAAATCACTCCGTAACCCCATAAACAGAAGTCATAATGATCAAAATATCTCGCTACTCAAAAAGTTAGTGATTCATCAGACAACATAGTGGGAACAATAGTTCATAGCCTAATGTGAGTTGTGATACAAGCCATTATGCAAATTGAGTCATTCCTTGCTTATGGAAAGTGATCAAGTGCAACATAGTGGGACCAATAGTTCATAGCCTAATGTGAGTTGTGATAACAAACATTAGGTAATATCCTTTAAGTTCTGCCAAGAGTCATGACTCGCCTGTGTTGGGGATTCATCAAGTCAACCACTGGCTTCATATGGTCTCCTGTGCCAAGAACCAGAGGACAGAATAGTTTGGCCGAAAGAGGATCAGATATAAGATCGTGGAAGTAAATCATAAGAACAATCTACTAAACCCGACTCCGCAAACAAACAAACAAAAAACAAGAAGTAACATTCAGAGCTGACAGCCACTTTGATGATCTGAAGCAATCATATAGACTGGACGGTATGGCTGTCTTATGCATCAAATGGAATGAGCAATGTTCTATATCCTTATGCAGCTACAGCCTGAACCAGCTTCTTTTACATCTCTTACCTTGCAAGGAAACTGGAGTCTCCGATTCAATAAATTCCTTCCACTTCCATCCTCGAATCCTGCCATCATCACCACAACTGCAAAGCAAATACTTAGTAAGAAAAGGAAGATAGCAGGCGCAGTGTTGGTACTAAACCTTTTAGAAAATAAGACATCAGGAATGTTAGCACTAAACCTCAGCAACAAAGCATCTTCACCACTGCCATAGAATTTGACATCATATGCTGGTCCATCATGGGCTTGAACAAAGCCGGTAGGCTCAACCCTGACAAAATGACCAAACAAAGAGCTCCTTCAGAGTACTTACGAGGGGAAAAGGTAGAGAATTGGAAACACCACCACCGTCCAAGTACTTACCTCTGAGCCATTCCGTAGCCGAAAGCCACTGGCTATTGCCAAACGAAAAGGAAACAAACGGGGAAAAAGGTAACTAATCAGTCCATTTTTTTCCCCCAAAAAATCAGTCAAACAAATGTTTCTACGGTGAAATACACAGCAACAAAGAACGGAGCAGCAAAGTCCTTACGAGCTTGGAGGCGCAAGAGGAGATGGAGTACGAAGCGATCGATCCATCACTGGAAGCTACGACAATGGCGTCTGGAATGGGGTCAGGAGAAGGTGCCCACGCAGTCCTGAAGACGGTTAGGGTTTGGGCTTCCCGTTCTCTCAATATGCGCTCTCGGTAGGCTTCCTCGTCCCAGTTCGTCGCGTCTCCGCGCATTTTTCTATGGGTTGAAGAGTTTAGTCTAGTGTGAGAGCTGCAATGGCTTTCCTCTTTTCAATTTGAGACCATAGCTTCGGCCTGGAGGAGTTCACCGTGCAGTTCTCCGCTTCTCTTCTTCAGTTCCGGCAATTGCCGGCGGTTTGGACGGGCAGTATTCAGAAATTGCGGGCGCCACCAGAGGATTAGAAACTTTGAAGGCTCAAACGACGACGTTCTGAAAAGAGAAACGGGCCCTCCTCGGTCCATGGACCTTTTTCTCCTGACAGTTCATTTCCTTCGTGGTTTTTGGTGATTGAATATGGGCTGCCACTCATGAGCCCATCATATTGCAGCAGGCTCTAATAACGTCAATTCAGGGTAATTAGTATAAATGGTAACAAACCTTTGCACTTAGTACAAAATGGTCACAAACCTTTAATTTGTAACAATACGGTAACAAAACTTTGAAATTGTATAAAATGGTCACCGCTATTTAATTTATGACCGTTTGTTTTAAGTGCAAAGGTTTGTTACCGAATCGTTACAAATTAAATGTTTGTCATGTTTTGAGGTCGGGTAGTTTTTTCGTTAAGTATATGACACTAACCACTTGAACGACATATAAGATGTCAGGTCATGTGTTCATCGACATATTTGCTTTGACGAATAAGAATGCCCTCAGTTGACCTTTCAATTCCGATACCAAGAAAGTAAGAAAGTAAACATAGTTTTTTCAACTAAAAAGCAGTCTGGAACCCGTTTGTCAGCCATTGAATTCTCTCATTGTCATCCTAAACAACATAATATCATTCACATACATTAACAAAACCACCATACAACTAGAGTGAATTGTAATGGTGATTGAGCGTTCAAACTTTTGAACTTAATTTGTACAAAACGGTCACCAAAAGTCTAATTTGCAACGACACGGTAACAAAAGTTTGAACTAGTATGAAATGGTCACACTGTTTAATTTGTGACCGTTTTGTTCTAAGTAAAAAAGTTTTGTTATCAAATGGTTACAAATTAAAGGTTTGTGACTGTTTTGTACTAAGTGCAAAGGTTTGTGACCATTTATGCTAATTACCCCGTCAATTCATATTGTAGATTGCAGCTTGGACCCTGGAGGGATAGACAATGATGGCAATGAGGCTGGAGGCTGGAAGGCAGGTTAATACTCATGTCCGGTCCGCATCAAGCATGAATCAGATAATGTACAGGTGTCGTTCCAATTTTATCGGATGTTTATGAAAGTACAATGTACTACCCTACATGTGAGTATTGGACATATTGGTGTAAGGGCAAGATCAAAGTGTTATTTATAGGGTAGGGTATGTGGGTAGGGCATCTGCGGATTTGGCCAGATCCACCCGAAAAATTACCCAAACTGTAGTATGTGGCTAGGTTAGTGGACGAGTCACGAATTGGTCTCATAGCAACCCATAGGGGGTGGATGGGATATTGCCCCACGACAACCCGCCTTGCCTCACATTCTAACTTACCCAGTACCTAATCGTCGATATTGAGGAAGTGTTGCCGAGGAACTCCCAAACTAAGCTATGTTCCCATCTCTTTGCCCAGAGGTGGCAATTCTCAATCCAATCCACCAACCCATTAAAACAATCCATTTAAATCCAATCCATTTTATTCAAATGACAAACTACGGTTTGGTACCTATACTTTTTATATTTTACATTTTGGTACCCAAAATTTAATTTTTTATACAAAAAATATCATTGGAAAATTACGTTTTGGTACCTAAAAATTTTCATTATGACATTTTTGTACCTAAACTTTTCATATTTACATATTGATCCTTGGTTGAGGATGTCATTTGGATTCATGGATAATCCACCAATCCACTTGATCCAATCCATGAATCTACCAATCCATTGGATCCAATCCATTTGATCCATGGATCAATCCATTTGCCACCTCTATCTTTGCCCCACGCTATACAACCTCCCACAAAATCCCGAGCAATCCATTCGTGTACCCAGGCTCATATTAGTCCAATAAATTATCCGGAGAGATCCCAAACAACGAAGCCTAAGATCGGCCAACATCGACGACAGAGCAAGATACGTAGATGCCGGCAACAAGGCGGAAGGAAAGTTCATTAACGAGGATGAAGATTTCCAACTAAGAAGTTCATAGGTGGTGAGTTTATGCGGGGCCTTTGGTAACAAAAAAATGTCCCGCTTCAATACGAAATCTAAAAAAAATATGATGTAAATCGACGATAACAAAGTTCATTTGTTTTACTATAACTGCCTCGAAGTGATATCGCCGTAATACCAAATTAAGAAAATGTTGCGAATGTAAATATTTATGTCATTAATATTGATATATCACTTGTAATAGATGGAGATAATTAAACCTAGTCATAATCATAAGTACTAAACTCAACAAAATTCCACTATACCAACACTAAAAAAAAAAAAAAAAAAATTGTAGGGGGGATACAAAATTACTTTGTGATATGAACTTCCTCTCAACAACCATACGAACTATATCTAATAAATTTTTGTGTACTATGAATTGAAGATTCTCTGTCCCGGGGAGAGCATCTTCATGGGATCGAACGCGGATTTCCTGTGTCGGAACCTTTCCCACTTGGAACCAAAATGCTTGGCCCACTCTTCTGTGGTGGCGTAATGAGCAAGGTACTGCTTCACTCCCATCCCACTCCTCTCACAGAACTCCATTATCTCTTTGTTCTGCTCCTCCAACTCCTCCCACCCACCACCGTCGAACCCGCTCGAGTGCAGGAACCCCACCGTGTAAAAAACCTCCTCCTCCGCCGCCGCCTCCGGTAGCACCGCCGACGTTCTATCATCCCACCTACACAACAAACACCAAACAGCCACACAGGACTCATCAGTATACCCTGCACGGTTAATACTTTATTTTGGCCTGAATTATGACCATATAATCAACTTTGGCGTGCGGTTTCAGAAATTAACATTCTGGCCTCAACTATAAAACATATCGACTCAATTGGCCCGACACATGGTTTGACCGTCAATTTGGATGGTCAAAACCGTTGACCGTTAATCAACACGCCATGTCATTGTCTCGTCAGCATACAAATCATTAATTATATTCAAATTATTTTTCGAATTTATATTATTTATCATTATCAAATTAACAAAAATAATAAAATATTATATTTTCTGGGTAATTTGAAAATGATAAATTTTACCAATTAACCAAAAATCATAAAATTATTTGAAAACTATAAATAATAGAAATTATAAAAATAATTTGAATTTTTTAATAATTTTTAGGCTGACGAGGCAATGACATGGCGTGTTGACTAACGGTCAACGATGTTGACCGTCCAAATTAACGGTCAAACCACGTGTCGGGCCAATTGAGTCTATATGCTGCATAGTTGAGGCCAAGATGTTAATTTCCGAAACCACCGGCCAAAATCGATTATATGATCATAGTTCGGAACCAAAAATAAGATAGTAACCCTAAATTAAAAAGCCAAATAACTCGAATCGTTGAGAAACATCGTGAGAGCGCGCGGACACACACGTACTTGTTTCGGTTCATCGGGTAGATGAGGACGGGTCCCGTGGTGATGTTCCTGCGCAGAACAATGTCCCTGAAAACACCGTTATCGAAATCCGCCATACGAGACCTCGGCACGAAGAGGTTGAGCCAGGGATGGGGAACTTCCCACAGCCCTCTGGACTGAAGCGACAACTCCCCGCTTCGCACTCTGTCCAGGAACTCCACGTACGACACGTCCTTGCTGTAAGCGAACCCCGGGACGTACCTCAGCCCTTCCGGCAATCGCTCCTGGTCGTGGTGGTCGTTGTCGTCGTCATAAGAGTTGATGGCCAGCTCGAGACAGTAGACGAGGCGGTGCCGGGCGACGAGGGACGTGATTTTGGGGACGTCGGAGGTCGGGAAGAACGAGGACGGACGGCTCCCACGATGCAACATCAGCGAACCTTCCAAGTAGTCCACTTCGACGTCCGAGATTAGACGCTCCTGGTCCTTTGTGAAGGCGGCGAAGTCGCTGTATAGCAAGCGTACCCATTTCACCTGCATTTACATATACATAGATATAGTAATTAGCTAGCTAGCTAGCTGTGTTTGTGCGCTGTTAGAAAGTGTATATATATATATAGCACAATGATTCGATGACTTTCGGACAACGCGACAAATAATCCATCTTCAAGTCATAGTAGTTATATCTCAGCAACGTTAAGAAATGAACTGGTTGTGATACGTTGACAGTATACTAACCCGTTTAGGAGCTGGGTGTAAAGCGATCCGAGCCCTGGTAATGATGCCGAACTGGCCCAGCCCTCCCAGAACGGCGTAGAATAAGTCGGTGTTGTTGGAAGGGGAACATGTCACGAGCTTTCCTGTCCCTGTGGATGTCGTCGCGACGGAACAAGGTACGCGCGTAAGATATTGCGGTATACGATTCATAATTAACATTTTTCGGCAACAGATCAAGTTATTGAGACGCTAACCGCTGGTTTATTACATGGTATATTATAATGTGCTGCAGTGAATTTGTGTAAACTTCAAGAGCTATGTTTTTGTTTGAGGAGAGAGAGACTAACAGAACCAACCAAAAAAATGTATACGTGAGGTTAGAAAACAACCACAACTTGTGTTTTCATCGAGGAAATGAATCTGAACCATAAACACACACATACACACACGTTTTCCAGCAATAATGTCGACGGTGGACCTAATTGACTTAGTGCGCAAACCATGGAACCGATCGAGACTCATGCAAATGCAAGCAATTAACGACGTATATATAGCTCCCTCATACGTTGCTTTCTGTCTAACAACCAACTACCAAACTTTTGGTTTTTCCTTCTTCTGTCATTAATTTTTTTCCCCTCTCTCTTCCCATTTGCTTAAATTAGCTCTCGAATTTTTCCCACCTCGTAACGAGACACGACTTTTAGTCTAACGTTACGTAGCTTTCATGCGACGTCGCAAAAAATCATTAATGTGTGAGATTAGACATGTGGATTGTGGACGAAAGTAAAAGAAAAATTAATTAATAATTTTACCGGTGACGACGTCCATCTCATGAACGTTGCTGATCTGGGGGCCGTGACGGAAACTCTGGCCGCCGATCCCGGCGTTGGACAGCGTCCCGCCGACGGTCAGGTGCAAGTAGTCCGTCCACGAGGCCGGCGCGACGCCGTGTCGCAACGTGGCGTCCAGCACGTCGATCCACAAAGCCTCCCCTCCCACGTCAGCATACGGACGACGACGGCGGCGCCCGCCACGTGGCGACACGACGACCACCCTCACGTTGTTATTGTAGCGGGCGGTCCTCAGCCGCATCATGTCTACCACGACGCCGTTCTCCGCCGCCATGGCCTGCCCCCGGACGGAATGGCTCCGGCCCCTCGCCGCCACCGTGAAGGTGTTGTTGTTGTTGTTCACGTTGTTGTGGTCGTGTGCGAGCTTTACTAGCTTGACGATGTCGTCGACCGAGGAAGGGTGGAGGACGGCGGCGGGGCGGCGGTGGACGATGTGGCCGTAGTCGGTGGCGGCGGCGGCGGTGGCGGCTGGGTCGGTGCGGAGGGCTCCGGTGGGGAAGTTGTTGATGTCGAGTAGTTGCGGCTTCGAGGTTTTGGTTCCATTGAGGGTGGAGATTGGGAGAGTGGTGGTGATGAAGAGGAGTAGAATGAAGTATGTTGCCATGGTGAAATTCCCAGCTGCCATGGTTTTTTTTTTTTTTTTTGGTTCAGACAAGAAGTTCAAAGAGATAGATTATTTTTGGGGATGACGATGAGAAGGGGGAAGAGGAGAAGGAGATATATATATATATATAAAGTTTAAGGTAATTTTGCAAGGTTTTAGAAACATGATTGGTTGGACCTACGCCTGAAACCGGACCGTATAACTCGGACCGAGACCGGATCGGGACCGGATAGTAAACAATCCAATCCAATCTTTGGGCTTAGATTTGAGGTAAAAAACCGGATAAAGACCAGATAAGAGAGATCAACACCCAAAACTTAAGGGTAATTTGCATAAACGGTCACAAACCTTTGCACTTAGTACAAAACGTAACCAACTCCTCTCCCTTCCAAGCATTAGGCCACTCAAATCCCCACAATCTCAATATAAAATCAAGACCGAATTGGGACCGGACCGGATCAAGACCGGACTGTATCCAATCCAATCTTCGGTCCTTATATTTTCCAAAAGACAGGACTGGTCCGGATCAATTTGGGCCAATTTAACCGGACCGTATAGCCACCCTAGTTGGACCGGAAATACCGTATATTTATCTAATTCTAAATGATAGGCGGTTTAATTTGTCAAATTGACGTAGAGAATTTTGTCTAGGTTTTTTTTTTTTTTTTTTTGCGGTTGATTGTGTTGGTCTCAATATTCCAACCTACAATTAATGTGGTGGCTGGGGACCAATATTCTCTGCAAGCTGTTTTGATTCTTTTTTTTTTTCCCTTTATCTATCCCTTTTTTGCTATTTAGATTCTAAATACCATTCTCAAGAAAGAAAGACCAAAACGTGTTTACGTAGTATCCGAAGAGAAACGAATCCCTATACCGTTAAAAACTCACGTTTTCCAGTATTTCCTTGCCGTTGAAGAGCGACTGCAAACTAATATTCTCTCTGCATACGTAAAACACAGACACACACACGAAACACAAAGAAAGGGGTCGGCGGCGAGAAGATGCACGTGGACGGTGGAGGCTCATGGAATGCGCGTAGTAATTAACCTATAGCTCTCACCGGCCTCCGGTCACTTTCCTCCGGCCACCTAATAAAATTGATGATATCGCTATACAAATGATCAGTACTACTACAAAAACAAAATCAGTACTAGTATCACTACAACTTATACACAAGATCCGGGCCCACCCGTTGGGTGGCTATATATATTTTTAGTTTTATAATAAATTCGTTATTGGACGGATAAATTACTTAAATGGTATAAACAACAATAGTAATTGTTCATAAAAATAAAAATATATTGTTGAATTTTTTTTCCTTAAATTCTAGCCAATTCTCTAGTGTGAGGAGGAAAGTAAATAACCAAACTCATGGCAGAGAACCATCTCACAATAAAATAAAAACATATAAAAAAACCAAACATTAATGAAAATATCTACAATCAATATCCGCTTCCTTCTTGTTAACAATGTGGTCATTTCCATTATTAGATCCACTACCTCCAATATTAGTAGACCGACTTTCTGCTTCTCCCACATCTCAATAAAAGCGAACCTTTAATGATATGGCAAATATGACACTTCAAGTTGAATATATTTCATCCAAGTCGTGATATTGTTAATGATTTGTTGTTTATTCTATCTGAAATCACTAATTTCCAATATGTATAGTATCTTCTTCTTTTAAAAAAACGTTATTATTACTATAACTTATGTTTTAATGGGTATGGTGATTTTCCTAAAGTGAATTGTGAAATTAAGAAGAATGGACCTCTATAGATAGATAATAGATTGCTACCTAGGTGACATCGTCTGATTTTGTTGTACGATTCCCACAAAAGTATTTGAGAGAGTTTTCTTCAACTTTTGGTCGATAGGTCGCATTAAGCATAGCACCACCAGTTCCTAACTTTGACAACTTAATTACATTGGAAGGAATACGAATTATCCTACTTATTGGAGAAAGAGATAACATTTTAATATTAATGAGTCGTTAGATTGAAACTGGAGTTTCATCATTTCAATTCGTTTACACTCCCTAAAGGATGTGATGCACCTCCATCACTTTTATCACGAAAATAATACTTGTGAAACCAAAATTTGGTTTTCTAAAACTCCGAAATTTGTAGTTTCATTAAGAGACAAATCTGTAAGAAAATATGTTTCTTTATCATCGTGTTCAGAGAAAAATATCAATGTAACAACCAAAATGAGAAAATGATCACCAATATTTGTGAGAATTGCATATATTGTCCTGCCCACGAAGAACCTTCACAACAAACCTCATGTCCCCAAATTGTATATCAGGCCCGAATTAAAATTTTCAACAAAGCATGAAAATATATAGATGCAAGTTTAAAATTTTCAACAAAGCATGCAAATATATAGATGCAATTTATAGAATCATATAATCATAAAGCTTTAGTTGGATCTCTGTACAATTTGTTCTAATAAAATTACATGTTTCCCTCTTACTAACTTTGTCAATAGCTAATCAATTCTCTTCAATTTTAATGTAATGGCTAAAATGAGAAGACGGTCACCAATATTTGCGAGAATAATATATATTGTCCTGTCCTATAGGGGAACCTTCACAACTAACCCATGTATCCAATTGTATATTAGTAGTGATGACAATATCTTACATGAACCTCGCGACCCGACCTATCCCAACCTGTTTGTGGCGGATATCATCCGACCTCTAGTAGCTTGTTGCGAGGCATGAGTATTGCTTACGACCTGTCCCTTCCCGTCCCCTTTTTTACCCGTTCTATCTTGATTTGCATCAATATCTACATGTATTTATAATCTTTTGACCATTCTAAAATCATGTTTACATCCCAATGAAATTTTCTATACTATCTTTCAACTATTGAGACTCAATTATTCCTTCTACTACGTTTCTCATTCATTTATGAATTATTTTTCAATGTGTTCTTGTCAAAGAATTAAAATATCGACGTTCCTTTTTCAGATAACATATAAGAGTGGGTCGACCTGCCCTACCCCCACACCCGAGCGAGTATTATCCGACCTGACCAACGCTTAGTACGGAGTGGGTATGGGTATTAAGTTACCCATCCCGTCCCGCCTCATTGATATTACTATATAGTAGGCCCCAACTAAAATTGTAAACAATTCATGCAATTTTAAGATGCAAGTTTAAAGAATCATGTCTCGTTATGCTTTATTTTAATCTCTTTAGAATTTTTTCTTATAGAAAGAAATGTTCCGATCTTACTAATTTTGTCAATAGCTGATAAATTATCTTCAAGTTTAACTTACGTGAATTGATTTTTGTAAATTTAATTTGAAAAACAATAATTCTTTAATGTCGAAAGTCAAAATAATTGAAGTGATTATAAACCGATAAGAGTTATTATTTATGGTCATATCATTAGTAAACTTGTTTTGTAGTTCAAATAGAGATTCGTCAGAGTGAATTGTAATTGATTTTGTAATATTCTACTATTAAAAAGTCGTGGTCTTTTGCGTGCAACTTTGATATAGGTTTAAGAGACCTTGATAGAGTATATACTCATTTATCAATCAAAATACTTAACGCTCGATCAATGATTTTTAATAATATACATAAGCGACCTATATTGTTAAATCAATACATTTTAATCAGTGATTATTGACTATTTGTTGAATCTATTAAAGGCCTATGTTGAAAATTTCAAGGATAAATCACACCCGATAATGACCGAATAATGAACAGTTTGTTTACTCAACCACACAAAAATTTGAACAAATAACAATTTGATCTACGATTTTCAAACAGTCTAGTCTATTTTCCCGGCCCTACTTTCTGGAACCAAAAAACAGCAAAGCAGCTGCGTTTGTGATCTCTAAGGCCCATATGAATTACCCATATATTATTTAATGTCTTCTGTGATCTCTAAGGCCCAAATGAATTAAAATAAAATTGACATATGGAACCCTCGGTTGCAAATTAAAGCTTTTATGCTTATTATGGCCCATTACCTAAAATAATTAAAGTAAGAAATTGACCTAATGGCCCTTCCGTGCTATGCGCATGAGGCTGGAAACTTGGAGTTGATGGGGTTCCTAATGAGAACGTCCATATAGTACTTTTAGGACTAGTTAGCATTATTTACGCAATAAAGTGTTTTTTTTACTTTTTTGTTTATCAATGATATATGATGCAAAATTGAAATTGTTCCAAGAACTCGAGATATTGGAATCACTTTGCACGGCACGATTCGAAATCGAGTTTTTTTTTACAGATGAATTAATTTATTAATGTTTGAATATTGTGAAAAGAAGTTTACTTTCAGAAAAAAATAATTTATTTCTTCTGTGAAAAGATGTTTTCTTTTCAAGAAAAGTAATCTCATTTTCTATTTGAAAAGATGTCATTTTGGGAAAGGTAACTTTTTTTTTTGCTGTGAAAGGATAACTTTCCGTTTTTCAAAAGTATAAATAGTTTGATGACATAACTTTTTTTCATACGCGAGAGTTCATCTTCTCCTTCCTGTTTCCTACACCCAGAAATCTATAAGTCGTTGCTTCATATTTTGGTTGAAGAGACTCCTTGGGTGGTTTGCGTAAACATATCAGCGTTTGTAGTGGAGGCAAATAAACACTGTAAGGGGAGTGATTAATTCACATCTTCAATCTGATTCTTTCCTACCAATTCTTAACACGCGGTCGGTTCTCATCACAGTATCAGAACTTTCTATGATCAATTAGCTCTTCTGTTCAAATTTAATTAATCACATATATTCTGTTAAGCACATATTATTCAGATATGTACAAATTAAACTTATGTTCAAATACCAATTAACCACTTGAACTATTGGAATCAGTCTATTATTGTCATTTTCATCATAACGTGAGAGGGAAGTTGTACGTATGCTCTCTCTGAATGGCGGGTTATTTAGAGAAAACAAATGTCGTCAAAGATAAGGAAAGGAAGAACGTTCTGGCGTCATTGACAATACATCATTAATTAAGCCCTTTTCCTTACGTGTTTCTTATCAACATGCGGTTTGCTG